AACAATTAATCTTGACCATTGCACCTAAAATGATAGTTAACTACTGGTTCGTAGTGGTGCAATAGTCAGCGCCCCGGGGGTCTAAATAAAGTAGTCGAAAGGTTGACAAACTGAAAGTAATGTTCAGATGCCAGTCTCCGGACACTTTCCCCACAGTGGATTGCTCTAGCAGTTAAAAAAAGCTGTAGTTTAATAATGTACAGTAGCCATTCACATTGACTGTATTTATTCCAATTACTTAGTATTAACTGTAATAAACTAACCCCACCCTCAGAAACTTGTCTAGTTTGAGTGTCTGAGTTTGAAAGTTGTCTACAAATATCTAGGTGATCTACAACCCTACCCTACAGGCTTGACAAATAGTTTCAAAGTATCTTAGATAGTAGTAACTTAAGATGACTACTAATTAACTTTGAAACATATCCTGCTTAACTTTATCTTGTAATTATTGCAAATGTAACGAGATTCTTCAATGTTTATAGACTTGCTTTATTAACTATTTTTTGCACCAGAGTAAAATCTAAATGCACTCTTTACTCTTAAATTGGTATTACTTTTCTGATTCCAGAATGCTTCTACTTAAAATACTGGTGTGGAGTCTCTTGGGGACCCCTACATAGCCCCAGATGGGTCTCTAGTGTTCTTTGTCTCCGGAGCAAAACCAGCTGTCTACACCAGTTTGTTTCGCTTCTCCCTTACCAAGAGTTTCCTTCAGGGAATGTGTCTACCGTTTTTAAGACACTAACCGGTTTAAAACTATTTCTTTCCAGTTCCATATTACGTCCAACAGTTCACTCTTTAAGCGGCACCTTTGTCCTTCCAAACTCCTTTCTTGCATTTTAGGTACCCCAGCGTCCATTGGTCCCCAGCTTCTCGATCTTCAAGGCCACATTGAGCTCGACACAAAATCCTGTGGAATACCTAGTAACATGTTAAGTAAAGTGTTCTAGTTTGATTTGGTTACTCTATAAATCCCATAGCACAAACCAGTAATGTGCTTGAATTACCAAAGATGCAGATTTAGAATCCTCAACATGGCTTTTGTCCCCTAGAGTAGATTTAGGTTAATTTAATTTTCAGTTTTTTCAGATACATGGGGGGGGGGGGGAAATGGCTGGCAAGAACTACAATATCAGTTTGTGAATACTAATAACTGCACTGGGACTGAGTAAATGCTCACTGCTCGTCTTGGCAGAGGCTTCCAGCTAGTTAGTATCTACAAAGATAAGGAAGATTTAAGACGTTATTGCCAGAAGTGAGGTTAGTTTGCTATAAATTAAAATAGATGTGCATTAAACTTTATGATCATACTGGTGGGCTGTTATTTACCAAATGGCAAAGAATTTTTCCATATCTACATAATGTTTTAAGTGGGATCCAGTTCATGTGAATAAGCGTCAAAAAGTGAGGCACGACGACCTGGAGTCATCCAGGTACTGTCCTACACTAACTGGTCTTGCACTGGAGGGTCAGTATGACTTCTTTTACTTTATTATTGTACAGCTTAAGTTGTCAAATTGGGTAAATTTCTTTAAGGGCAAGTTACACATGACTGCTTCAATGGCTGTAAAGATGTCTGTAAGAGTTCAGATTAACTTCAATTGTTCTAAGAATTCTTGAAACGAATATATTAATTGTAGTAACTCGCCCCTCCCATCCCCAGGCTTGGCCGACCACAGCCAGACAACGAGGACGGTCTCAGTACTTACTAAGAACGTCTATAACAGCATGGTGACACGACATTGTCTATCACCACGTCAAGTCTGTCGTCAGAGGCCAGCCGTTGATATTTTTCACAATGTCCAAATTTACTGAATGGTGAAGTTGTAAAAGAAATAAAATTTACACTAGCTCATCTTGAATACCTTAACCAGGAAGTCTCTCAATGCCTAAAATCTACAAAACTTGCCACCAAGGACCTGAAGTGTAGTAAGGGTACAAAAAAAATGGTAATTAGTAAATCCTCAACTAGTGAGTCAAGGAAACTATTAATGGCTTGAAGTCAATATGACAATGAAATTGGAACAATGCAGTGGGGGAGACGGGGGTATATGTACATTGGTTACCACCCTTCCCCTCCCCTCCCCCCCCCCCACTCCCTACAGACAAGTGGATGTGACTTGCCTGTAAAACCTGGTTGTGGCACAATTTTGGGCCTTGCTCGGTATCTATGATGAATAACTTGTCCTGTGGTTTGTTTGGCAGTGAATTTGTATCTTGAAGAAACTTGAATGCTGACTTGACTCTCCAGTGTTCTAAGATTGTTCTGTTCTTAGTTTACCTGTTTCTCTTTCCACAGAATGCCATTCTATATGGCAGCCCAGTATAGTAATAAATCTCTACACTAACTTTCCTTTTAGTAGGCATCCATCAGTCTCGAGACTAAAGAGTTGCTCTCTGGTTGTTGGTCTGGAGTGGCCTCTCCAGGGTGCAAAGCCAGAGTAGGTTGATATGGATAAGCTGCTGTCACCCCAAGCAGCAGGTCCCCAAGGTTTTCCTTGTACATGCCATAAATTCATAGTTATTGATGGAAAATTTAATTAAACTTCTAGTTTTAGGAAGATAAAGGTTTGGGGAGGGGGGGGGTGTTTGTGGGAAATTTTTGCATTAATATTAGAACATGTTAAAAAATTTCACTGGAAACTTCAGAGATGTACTAGTAGTTTACTACAACTTTGGAACCAAAGACACTGATGCACACATGTTCTGTGTTAAGCTTATTCCATCTCCAGGTTTAAAGTGTGAACCAAGATTTATACACTAATAATGGATATCCTTTTACTTGGTTAAAGGTGAATTTCTAATCTAATGAAAAATAGCAAGTGTGTGTGTGTGCCACAATTGGCCTGGAAACGTAACCTTACCCTCACAAATTGCAGATTACTGAAACCTCGCTTGCTTTTGTCACCACCCACTAATTTATCATTGTTTGATGTGGATCAGTGACCCGTATTTTGAGAAGCCCTGGAGTAGGGATGCTTGGGCTGTCACCTGAATCGGGAAATATTTTGGTGAACACTTTTGCTGGTCTACTGCATTGTTCCCTTATTGCCAACTCTATTACTCTACAACTTTTTTAAGTGCTCTTGTTACACTAGTCTCTTGAGCTAAAAAATTTCCATCCAACTGCCGACATGGTTTCTTGTACGAACGAAAAACTGAACAGTACCATTGATCTCTGGGCAGAAAGCTGTCAGACATGTGCCACTTAATTTTGAGTTTGCTTGTACATTTAAAATTTGATATTGGATGAATATGAGGCGGCAGGATAATGAAACTTAAGAATTCTTTAGTGGTTATTCAAACTACTATTGTCATACTGTATACTGGTGTATCCATCTGGACTTGTGTATCAAAGGATGGAAGAATTTCTTCAGTGTCTACATCTATAAACCAGCTGCTAAAGATCATAAGTTTGACACACGCATGACTAACAGGTCTAATCTTGTACTCCAACTTAAGTAATTTTCCGGCTTCAAGGTCTAATGTAATGCATAACAGGGTACAACTGCTTGACGCAAGAGACTTCACCCAATAGGGTTTAAACATATGCAACCACTAGAGTTGGCACAATTTATACTGTTTATGGCCTCAATGAGGACAGGAAGCTGGCAGCTTGTCAAAGGTGCTCTCCATTTCTTTTCTTTTCTAGCTGGATTTTAAAGTTCTGCAGTTTTTCGTCATTTACGGCTTTGGTGGGTAGGCAGTTACCTTTTCACCCACAGGGTGAAACCAATGTATCTTTTTGTTTTTTCCGGTCCTATGCTGTGACCGAGTTTGAAAGTTACTCCTTGTTTGTTACATTTAGCATTTTGAAGAAACTGTCCAAATCACCATCCTCCAAAATGTTCTGTTATTGAATGTTTTATGATCAGCTCTATGCCTAGTTTGTAGTGCTAGCCCCTGTGACCCTCAACCTGTCCTGGTATGAGCGTTGACTTGGTTCTAGAATGAGTTTTGTTGTCTGGTGTTAAAACTTTCTCCATTGAAGCCATGTCCTTCTGAAGATGAATTCTCCATGCCTAGATGCAATAATCCAGGGGGGGCACACCAGAGATTTATTCAATTAATATCTTTTCATTAAAGTAAAAGGTATGCTTGATTATTCCTATGGGTTTTTTCTTTTATTCTGCCACTTGAGCCATTTTCAGTAAATGGACTCAGACTCCAAGGGCCTTTTCTTTATCAATCTGCTGCAAGGTACTGTAATACTAATAATTTGGTAGCTGTGAAGTGGATTACATGCAAGGTGTGTCCATCTGGATTGGTATACCGTCCTGGTATGCCAATCATTTGCCAGTCTTCTGACCATTTGAGGATTTCATGTAGATCTTTTTGTAAGACCTCAATATCACTTTCACTTTACCATAAATCTTTGTCATCTGCAAATTTTGTGATTTGTAATATTTCCATCTGTCACTGATGTATATATGGGATGGTCCCAAAAATGGACTCTTACAGTTCCTCACTCACCACATTTTTCCCAGTCAGATTCCTTCCCATTTAACACGACCCATTGTTTTCACCATTCTAGTATTTTGCCATTTATTTCATGTGCCTGTTTCCTTGCTAGTTTAAAAGTGGGAGGAGAGTAGTTTTCTGCAGAGCTTTCTGCCTTTTCAGAAAATACAGGTGACATTTGTGTATTTCTAAACTAAGGGAATTATCCCTTGGTCCAGAGAATGTCCAAAAGTTTTTCAGTGGTATGCATAATGCATCTGCCAGTTTCTTTACGTCTTTGGATTGAATTCCATCCACACCAGAGGCTTTCGGGTCTTAGTTTGTCAATGCTCTTCCTGATTGTGTCACATGTTAAGGGGTATACCCCTTAACCAACATTTGGTTGGTTAACCAACTATACCAACATTTGGATGTTGGTAGCTCAATAGATCTAGAGTTTTTTTTTTTTTTTTTTTTTTTTGGGGGGGGGGGGGGGGGTTTGTACGAACTTACTTATCTCGTACTATAACTATGTTTAGGTAACCACACAAAAACACGCATTTACAAATATCTATTCAAAATATGTAGGAATTTAATTTAGATTACACAAAGGAAATATAAAAATTCCATTATTACAGTATTAATGTCAAATTATACATTTGGCTTTGGAGCATATATAGGTATATATACAAAATTCAAGGTGACAATTAACTGTGAACGCCAGTTTTCCAAGAGAAATCAATGACATGTAATTTATTATACATGTAGTTTTAATGAAAAATATTTGTATGAAGTACAAATTTTAAATAAACTACTGTACAACAAATTAAGCTCATCTTAAATTATATACATTTAAAATGTAAGACTTTTACAAAATAAATTAACTGGACTATCATTAACATTTTGCAGGTGCTTCATCACAGTGTACGCCAAAGGCCATACTTCATCCAGATGTTCGGGCATGTGTGCGAATCTTAATTTTGTGCCCATGAAATTATGATATACTTGGCAATCAGATCATCTGCACACATGACACAAAACATTCTTGGCAATATATCATTGCCTGGTCTGATTGACCATACCACACACTAGAACGTGAAGGGACGACGACGTTTCGGTCTGTCCAGGACGGACTGAAACGTCGTCCTCTCTTCACCTTCTAGTGTGTGGTCTGGTAAAACTACTTCAGCCACATTACTGTGACTCATCACCTGCATCATTGCCTGGTCTATTTTACTTCATAAATATACATTTAATGCATATATAGTACCTCTGAAAAAATATTGCAAATAATTCTTGTTGCTGCTGTGGATATTTTTCAGATAGGCAATTCTGAATTGCCACATGAGCAGAGTTTTAATAATGGATAGTTTTGTAATGGCATCAGTAAATGCTTAAATATGCTTTTTGTTTACCATCTCAACTGCAATTACAAAATAAAATTGAGGAATTGAATGGTTTTAGAGATTACTGTATATACAAAAAATTAAAACTTATATAGGACTACACTACTTTTAATAACAATTACATACCACACCTCTACCACCCTGAAAAAAAAAAAAAGGTCTGAACACCCAACTATTTAATCCTACTTTAGTTTCAAGAGACAAAATATGAAAGAACATTGAAGGGAAAACATAAGAGAACAAAGTGAAGTATGAGCCTAATCACTCCCTGGATCATTCACAGCCTTCTCTTCACTCTTGTATAGTGAGGTATAGTACGAGCCTAATCGCTGCCTGGATCTTCCACCGCCTTTTCGTCACTCTTATAATGCCGGTACTCGGGTTTGAGTTCCCACATGTTCTTGTGTGGATTCTTAACATTATAATCACACATCTCCTTCAGGATTTCCTTTAGGTATATCTGGAAAAAGGTATGAGTGATAAACTATGCAGATGGTGAGAAAAGACTAAATTAAGATCAGTTTCTACAACCCATTCTCCAGTTTAGATAGTAGTTTTTGTGACAACGTGCGCCATTGTACAAAGATTGCCATTCTACGCAATTATATCGTATAACTTTGTACTGTTCACTTTATAGTCTGAAAAAATTAAGCTAAAAAACAAATATTCCAAGGCCTAGTACAGCACACACTATATTAGGTCTCAGACATCATGTATTAGACCTAGGAAGGTTAGGTTAGTTTGTCTTTGCAACATTAGAAAATAGTTTTCCGGTTTCTCCAACTCAATAGTGCCGATTTCTACTTTCTAATTTTGTTGTACAGTATATCGGTATGTATAAATACTATAGTCCTTATTGTTGCTCTAAGTACTACCAAAATAGGAGGATGGGCTGGTTTGGTTTCTAACATATCTTTTTCTCAAATCACACTTCCAGTTAAATTTTTAATAATGTTACATTTTAAGTTTAACGTGAATTTATTAACATTCTGCATAATATAGAGTGAAATTTACTAATGACTTTGATTTCAAAAACCACTTTAAAATATATTTGTTGGAGACCTTTGTATAGTCATTCTAAAAATATTACTAAAGTTCAATGTTGAGCATGGTCAATCTACTTTTATATAAAAAAGGCACCAAGCTGGGGAGACTATGTAGCATCATCAATGTCACTAGATACTCAAAAAGACACACATAAAGATACCAATTAGAAAAGCACAAAGCAAACAATATCAAAAGTATCAGGTTTACCAAGGATTCTATCGAGGGACAAGTGAAGGGGACAGTTGGACAGCAATACACACAAATGCCCTGAAAATCAGGACCATTAACAGGTGATACATAACTAAGAGGGACAATGCAGTTCAGACAATAAGGGATAGGGCAGCATTCCACCGAAGGAAAAGCCTGCGAGTGCAATGTGTATGGCCAATAGGTAATCTTGCCAGAGCTGTTTCCCACCATTGGTTACAGTGGTAGGAAGGCCACGGGGACAGGCTACCTTTAGGTGTTACCACCAACCCGGTCAACGGTCTCAGATTCAGGAATGAATGACTGGGAAGAAATCTAAATAATGACCTCCTTTTTGGGAAATAGGACAAGTGTGGCAGTGTACACACGCTCATTTAACCACTGTATTGCGAACACTGTGATATCAATAGGAAAAAAATTTAGTAAATGGTGAAGCATCTCATAATGAATGCCATCTGAGCCCGCCACTGTAGAACCAGAGAGAGGGCAGATTGGAGATCTTATAGAAAAAAAGATTATAGGAAAGATATGGCGAGTGCAAAAGACCAATGTACTTTACTTCGGAAGGGGTTTAAAAGGAAAACAGGATGAAGGTGAGCACCGGAGCTAAGGGCTGAAAAGCGAGAGCCGAGTTCCTTTGCGACCATCATTGGATCCCCTACAACTGTACCAAAGATGAAAGACAGGATATGTGTTTCGAACAATTTTACTAGCAATCTTGCGGCTCCTCTTCCAGACCTGAGGGCTGTCAGCAGTAATGGTGCAAACAATCTCTCCAACTCTCCCATTTAGCTGTACAGACGGTTCTAACAGGTCACCACACACTCCTTCCAAAACAAAATAAAAGAAACAAGAATCTGCCAGTATCTTTTCCAGGCAGCATGCTTATACAAACCAGCCCAATCACAGTTCAAATTCTACCAGGAAACGCATTTCCATGTGCTACGGGAGGCATAGTGTGGAATAGAGAGGAGGACAGTGTCCAATAAGGTGTCATGAAAAAGCAGAAGTGCTCGAGAGAGAGGTACTTTCGATAGGTTGGAAAAAGAAGCATAGAGGGTGAAGAGATTCCAGTCTGCCTTATCAAACCGTCAACAGGGAAATATGCGAGGAGGGAAGAACGAAAATATAGTTAGGAGGATGGGGAAATGGTGACTATTATAGGTCATAGAGGACCCTACATGACAGATCAATATAAATGAGGGAAGATCAATACAGGAAAGAGAGAGTACATGAGTAAACACAAACACAAGATGGCTTGCCAGAATTCAGGAGACACTGGAGATAATGGGATGAAAGATTCTAGAAGATGACTTTGATCTCCGTTTTATCGTTTTATCTTTACTTGTCATCGGTTTATCTGACGACACCAGTTTATCCTTGGGGATAAACGGTGCAGTTGTCACAATGGAAGGAGGAGTCACACCAGGGGATAAGATAATCAGCATAGGGGGCTTTGAGCTCTACCCAGCCATAGAAGTGGGAGGGGAATGGAGAGAGTTAGTAAGGGCACTGGGAGAGAAAGCTAGGTTCTGGGCCAAATGTAGGTCTTCCAGTAAGGTCCGACTCAGGGGAAGCCTCGTTGTCTAACCCACGAATCCGAAGAGAAATCAGAAGTTAACATAAAAGGTAACAACAGACTTTGCTGACCAGCACCCCCACTCAGCCTACGTGGGAGGCACAAGGGCAAGTAACCGCAGGGGTACCAAGAACAGGATATGTGGGTCGCCATTGCAGGGCTGAACGGCATGCCATGGACCAATAGGAAACACCATCACTACAATGCCTACTTGATCCCTGACTAAATAGGCAGGCTGCACTGAACCTCCCATTTACCCCCATCCCCTCACCAAAGAGTGTTGCCCCCCCTTCTCCCCACCAGGGGTCACAACCCCCTTGGGTACGCTCAACTCCCAGATGAAGGAACATAAGGGCCTCCACAAGTCTCCATACACGGCTAGCATATAGAAACGTGTTTAGCATGTGCACTCTTACAGCAGGTACGAGAGGGGAATGGGAGCTATGCCCCTCCTACTCGTGGGTGGCCCACAAGCCACTTCACCGAATCAAGAAACCGTCCACGGAGGGGAAAGTCTACTTGTAAAAGTTAATGATTATCCATAAATGACAGAATTAATATGGTCTTGCAAGTGGAAGCAAAGCTGCAAAGCATTGATAGTGAATTTGATTCATTAGCAGTCTCCAATTTTGCCATGCCAATATCAAAGAAACTTATCAAATAAAACAAGTTTAGGATGTGTTCATTCACTAATAATAGCAACAGAAGTTCGTTTACACATGATGCATTATGATTTTGCGCATAATGCATAAACCGAGGAAACATTCCAACTTACAATTGGTTGTCGGGTAATCTTCTGAAGGTCCTTAATATTGTAATACTGATGCTTTTCAAACGCTGCATACAACATCTCCATGACCTTATCCTTATCATCACGAGCCTTCTTGCCTTCAGCCTTCTTCTTTTGCTCTATATCAACCTATGAAAAATGGCCAATTAGAAAATATCTTAAAGAATTTTTAAGCAATAAAAGTAGATACAGCATTATTCATTCCCATTCACAAAAAAAAAAATAGTCCTGAAAATTTTGTTTTCAAAACAGCCTTGATGGTAAGCATTCAAGGAATGAATCTCTGGTCTCATGCCAGGCATTTCTTACAATACAAATGAAATACCCCTCACCCTTTACACTAAAAAAATTCTTACTTTACAAAGCTAGCCAACAAAAGGTTTTATGACCATGCAGTAGTGCTATCAGCTTCCGTTAAAACTCGGACAACTGCATCACATTGGAGAGATCCAGGATCAATACCTGGGACTTGTTGATTAGTGTTCCAATTATCCAACTACAGTAATTAAAATTACTGTAGTTCCATTGCTGACTACAGTACAGTAAGTGATATGAAATTATTGAATAATTATTATTAGTCCAATTTAAATTCAAAATGCCATAGTAACATGTTGGTGAAATAATTCTGAAGGAATAATGATTGTTTTCCTGGATACAATAAAGGATTAGTTTTGTTAGTTTAAATTTTAAGTTATTCATGAGTTTTTCCTTGTTTTGCTTTTTCCAATTATTTACTATTCCAACACTAGGAATAGTACCAGTATACAGGTACTGCTATACTATATCTCGGGTAATGACGAGTGAAATTTTTCCAGAGGTTACCAAAGCTAAACTAACCATCGTGAAATTCAGACACTGGATCGCGATAAATGGTTTGAAAAACCAATAAAACTTATCCGATGTGTACAGAACCTCCATAACCGAATTGTACCTGGATAGGGTTCTGGGAGTTCTACTACCCAAGCCCTGCCTGGAGCCAGGCTTGACTTGTGAGAGCTTGGTCCAACCGGGTGGTACTTGGAGCAGGCCACAGGCCCACATATCCACCACAGCCCGGTTGGGTAGGTCCCTGATAATCTATCTAACGCAAAAAAATTGCAAGCAAGCTTATGATAAAAAACTTCTACTGTATAGGGTAGTTGATTTTACAAAGAAAATAAAAATTTTGAGTTAAACCACCCCTGCTAATTAATTAAGCCAAATTCTAAAACTGTTTGGCAAACATTTTGTGACCGAGGCAAAGAGAAGAAAAGGAAAGAGCCTGCTGCAAAATAGCAAAGTGGTGTTTTTGATGGACAACAGCCAAACACATCCATTGCTTTCTGTGAATACCACTTCCCTGATCAAACCCAAGAAACGGGTTGTGAATAAAAACTGAACTTGCTTCTCACTAAAAATGCAACCCTTCAAATTAAATTTTCAATGGTTTAAACAAAGACTTTAATAAATCCATCAATATCTAGACAGCAATGTTATGTTACTAAAGCTTGAAATCGTTTAAAAAAAGAAAAAAAGAAAAAAAAAAAAAAAGTTAAGATATGCCTGACAAACTCTGGCCCTCAATCATAGGCGATTTGTTTAATTCAGATGGACGAATGATAATTCTGAAAGCTTCAGAAGAAAAAATCTGAAAAAACAGGAATTCCTTACTGATATAAGGAAATTCAGTTTCCTGAAATTACAGTTGCAACATTAGACACTATTATGAATATTCTGTGAAAGTTAAGTGCAATATAGGAAACAATTATAAAGTATACATGACTGATAATGACAAAGTTTTCCATGGCTAAACTTCCTGAATTCAACCATAAACCTACTGCAATACAGTACTCCTGATAGAACATAACTTATGCTCTTAATATTATGTTTATATGATTACCATAAAGCAAAAACGGGTCAAAATAAAAAAATAAAAAAATTTAATTTTAGTAAGAATCTAATTTGAATACTTACATTATGTTTATGATGTGAAATAGGCCTATAGACATGTACAGGTCTGTCAATAAACTCTGCCTTACGATGAGGCTGGGCAGCTTTTTTCACAGCTGCCCTTTTCTGATTTATATAGTAGTTGTCCACTGTAAAAGAAAACAAATCATTAGTTGGCTAACAGTCATGTACATGAAATTTCACCTTCAAGATAATGATTTGGTATTTGCAATGTTGACCAAGATCTTTTCTGCTTCATACTGGTTAAAGAGACAAGTAACCGACAATAATATCAATGCTCTCTCCTGCAAAGCAATAGCTTCCTAACAAATCTCACCCCAAGATAGGGGCTTAGCCAAGACAGAAGGCTCAACGATGACATGACAACAGTCAGAATGGCAAAGGCAGTAAGGATGGCCATCGGCATGCACTAATGTCATATAGCTTCCAGAAAACCCAGACACTTCAGCATACTCAGGGGAAGGAGAGGAGGGAAGGTGGTTCATAGTCTAATTACACCGAGACCTGCAAGGATTTTGCAGCACGAGGCTAGAAAAACATGATTGCCACACCAGTATGTGGTCACCCACTGTACAAACAGAATACCCAACTAGAAAAGAAAAAAAAAAACTTAGAAGCTTTGAACACACCACCAGATGTTATAGTGTTTAGTGACTTTAGTGGTTAAAGGTTGGAACCTCAGGCTGCCGAGTTTGCCATCTGGTGGTGGGGAGATGTAGCTAGAGGTAGTAACTAGCTTATGATTAATTAGCAGGTTTACCTATACTGTTATTTATTATGTTTGTCTTTGATATTATCTATCATTTTCACTATTTGAGATAGTTGTTTTTGCAGTGCTCTACCTCTCTGGTGATTTTTTTTCCCTCTTGGGTTGGGGGCAATACCATATCCCTATCCCCAGAATTCCTGAACCTCTATTGAAGGGAGTCTCAGTCTGGTCTCTAGTGCACTTTTATAACTTTGACAGGGCCTGGTGTGTGGTTGGAAACGAACCAGATGGCTAGCTTCAGAAAGCTACAAAAGAGCCAAGCCAGAAAAGTATCTTGAAATATAAAAGGTACCACCTTTCCCCCCTCCCCTTCAGCTCTTCCACGAATGGTGTAATAATAACCACCACAAGAATATAGGGCAAGACTTTCATACCAAACTATACAAGGTGTCTGACACCGAGGTGCTACTGGCCTGAAAAAAAAAGTCTTCAAATATACAAGTAGCTTCCCCAGTAGCAACCTCGTAAGCCATTTTAGTTATGAGATTCATATTTTAACAATGTGATGTGACAAACATTAAAAGAGACAATTGAAGAGACAATATTAATTCGGAGAAAAGAAATAAAAGAAATAAATCACGTCACCCACACTGATCTCGTATACAATTACTGTAATCTTTGCAAACTGCAGATGCAGACCATATAAGATTTCTCCAGATTTTGAAGAAAATTTTTTATTTGCTACAAATCATTAACATGGTCATGGACAGTATCCAATACTTACACAAATAAAGACAACAAGCATAGCAATACTAACCTACAGGTTGACACTCAAATTTCTGTATGACTTGTCCCTCCATGTATAACTTTTCGGTCTCGGGAACTACAGAATCTGGGTTGCCACCAGCTGAAAGGTAATTAAAACAGTTGCGAATCAAACTTCAATATACTTGTGTCTAGCAGCTATTTAGATTACATCAAAGATTCTTTGAACCGTTATATTTATTTGATTGGGCACTTTTAATTTGGAACCTAATTGTAATTTGCAATGTGGCTCAAGATAAATAAAATATAAGGAAATGGCTCCAATATTCCTATATACAAAGGAAATTCTATTGATAAATACTGTAATAAAGGTACTGGAGAAATACACCAAATACGTACGAACTGTTTGTGAAAAAACACCGAGAGTCATTTCTTTCACACTATGCAAAATGAACTTGTGCTCCCGAGCAATTTTGCTATCCTTCAAGATGCTATCACCTGATGTAAAGGTTACAGTTGGAAGTTTACCGGGAACCCTAAAACAAAAGAAAAGCTGGAGTATTGTGCCCAATACATCAGAATGTCAAATCAGCTTCAAACAATTTTGTCTTTTAAAAGACTGTTACAATGGAACTGATTATGAAAAATATAGGAATGAATGTAGAGAGCAGCAGAGATGGAGTGGCTGAAGAGCATGTTTGATACTAAATTTTCTTCAAAGAATAATGTTACATAGACAAATTAGAAGCATTTCAATAAAAAAAAAAAAAAAAAAAAAAAAAAAAAAAGGTGGAATGAAGCACATAATATAGGAGTTTAAAAAAAAGTTGAAAATAAGAATCATAACCATTAAGAACAAAAATGTCTATAGAAAACAACAGCCAAAAGCTGTTCAACTTAAATGCATGGGGGTTATGCGAGAGGAATATGTGCGAGCACAAATGAGATTGGAATGACTGAAGGAAAGTGGCCGATACTATAATACTTGGAAGGAAGAATAATTCGGGGAAAGACTCGCAGCTTAACAGCTGTGTAATAGTGGGAATACACATTATTTTATACAAATACACTATGTCACAAGACAGCAAAGGAAAAGAAAATTATCAGAGGAAAGCACTAAGCCATTACAACTATATACTGTATTACTAGGAAGGGATCAGGATGAGGATTTGGGATGGGATGGGGGGGGGGGGGGGGAAGTGTTCCCAACCACTTGGATAGTGGGAGATTGAACGCTGACCTGCATGAAGCGAGATCCTTCGCCCTACTGTCGAGCCAAAGTGGTTAGGCACTCCGGAAAGGAAGGAACTATCAGGGGAAAGTGCCAAGCCATTACGAATATATACCACCTTGAAGGGATCAGAATAAGGATTTGGAATGGGACGGGGGAAAGAAATGGTGCCCAACCACTTGGACGGTCGGGTATTGAACGCCAACCTGCATGTAGCGAGACCATCGCTCTACTGTCCAGCCCAAGTGGTTGGATGGATATGTTACACTGCATATCATTCCGGAGCTACAGCACAGGAGAACACATTATTTTCCATAAATATCTGAAGCAATTTAATTTTTATTAATATGGTTAGCATGTAACAAGAATAACCGCAATTTCTTTGGATGAATGACCGTGATATATTTCCTCTATATGGGGATATCCGTTCCAATTAAACACAGAAAATTTATAAAGGATCATGTTTATACAAAATATGAAAGCTACATCTACATAAAACAAGAATTATACAGAACAACAATACTGTACTGCAAAAAAAAATAGCAAGGAGCACCCATTTAAGAAAAAAAAATTTTTGCCATCCAATAATTAATCTGGGATATTTCTGCATTGGAAGCTTCCTAACATGGTAACTATGGCTTTATTTTAAATGTGTCAAGCTAATTACTGTTGTGCCAAGTAGTAAATTACTTGGCATCATAAATGAGCAAATTAACATGTTTAAAGTTACCATCAGTAGAGAATATTTGGTCAGGAGAATTATTGCAAACCGATATCATATATTGCAAAGTATACTGAATTTTTTTTTTTGGTTAAAAAATATTTTGAATGATCTTTTAGATCAGCATTTTAATGAATTAATTTAATTTCCCTGGATTTAATATTGTACAGAATATGAATTTATTATGGAACATACTACAAATTTATCAATAGAAAACTATCAATTGCAGACTTACTTTGTAATCTTAAGCTTCCCAACATCACAACCAGCACAGTCTGCCCATTTCTCCCGCATATATTTAGGTATCTGCAATAGAGTAGATAAAGAGTGCTTAAAATTATTGATGAAAAATATATTAGAATCCAATCAAAACAAGGAAATGGAGAATGAATACTTTAGCGTTTCAATGGTACTACATGTTGTCATTCATACTTCAACAGTAAATGTTATCACAATGCTAAACTGCTTCATCCATTTCAAAATTCCCTAAAATTACTTTCCTTAATTAATTTATTTATTAAAAAAAAATTGAGCACAGTTGGGGTATACATTATTAGAAAACCATTAAAGCTTGCACATTATTTGCATCAAGGGATCTCTGCCATCCATCTATCACTCAAGACGATAATTGCTATGAATATTTTCAATATGCTTTGCAAATTATCGGCTAAAATAGTATTACTTATGTTTGTTTTCTTTTTACAACAATATAGGCCAATCATGTGCACTCATTTCCATCTTTTTATTCATGTTGAAATATATGAACTTTTGATGTAAACATCCCCATGTCAATGATACACTATATCAAGAACCCTTCATCTGCCCGAAAAAGAGCAAATTAAATAAAATGTAATACATTAAATTTTTGGATCCAAATACAACCAATTTTGATAACTATGCAATTAATCATGGAAATAAAAAGGTTATAATATTCGTATTTATTTTAACATTATTACAAGAGTTCCATCAGGTTTTAATATTTGACAAGTTCCTGGCATTTTTTGGTTTTATTGTATGTACTGGTGAAGTACTCCAAGTTTAATTTATAGATGGCAATGCCTGGAGACTAGCAACTGTCCAGTAAGTGGGAACTTTGCCTTCAATGTCTCTCCCCAAAATTTTTGAAATTAAAGTGTGCCTCAGAATTAATTACAGAATTCAAGATTGGAATCATCAAAAGTTGCAGGCCACTATTTCCAATTGCATATGTTTCCATCATTGAAAATATTAAAGGAGTAGGGTACATAAAAGACCCAACTCTCAAACAATATAATATCATTGATAACATTTTACATGTGATGGACACTTCTTCTTCTTGATAGTAGGTGCAGTTTGCATGAAGGGTTTGTCCTCCCGATGACTGCACTGCGGACACTTAATACACACGGATATTGTGAAAGTTTAAATTTTATCATAATCATCATATTTCATTCACAACATACTTAGAAATCTAGAGAACCCTTAGAAAACCTAAATTGTAGAGGATATAATTTGAAACAAGGTAATTAATGGGAGACTGCACCATATGAATACTGGTTAATGGAGGGCCAAATTATTTATGTCAGTTCATCCCGATTTCGGGCAAATTTTCTGGTACCCTTTCTGACTTTGATGAAATTTTGTACAGGTCTCAATGAAAGTGAATGACGTATGTCTTGCATCAGTAGCTAAAACGATTTCAGAAGTACAAGATACTGAATTTTGCAAAATGGGTAAATTTTCCAGTCATGCCTTATTTTAAGACAAACGTATCTCGGCTCCTATGGAACATACAGAGTTCATTCCAATACCTTTTTAACACTTTCAGTGGAACTCACGCTACTTGGAACTTTTTGTTCCAAGTAGCGAATCTTAAACAACAACAGAGTAATAACCAGTCTACTTTTAAGTGCGGTTTAGAACAGACATTTGAGAGATACTATACCGACTCTCGGGGCACTCAACTCGCTATTACACCATTGCTCACCAAGTGTCACCTGCAAACTTTTGTAAACTACATTTGTCCAAATATATATATATATATATATATATATATATTAGTCTCTTAGTGTCTGTGTTTATTGTCACCATACTTTACGTAACAATAGAAACGTTACATTTGCCTAGACAAGGCGACCGTAAGGCATCCTTTCCCCTGATGCCTCTCTTCATCTAACAGTAAATCGGTACTTAGACTGTTGTGGATCGCTTCCATAGCTATAGTTAGATCCTACACACATTCAAGAGCAACACAAATTTCCCACAAAACCATCAAGGCCAAACAAACCATCAACAGGCCTGCCTACCTTGACTAACCAGAGCCCTCGACTGCAGCTCGTCACATCCAAGTCTTTCTCAGAGTGTTGGCTCATTATAACGGAAAACACGCGAGAATATACTGCTAGGAGACCTCCTTATAGCCTCTTCCACACGTGTAGTGTGCCCAGGTAGTCCCTGGAACTCGCCTGGTGACTGGGTTGTTGTTGGAGAGTGAGAGGCTAGTGACTGGTGGTGGTGGAAGCCGTTGTTGTTGTTGTGGTGTGGGTGATGGCTGAGCGTTTACAAGACAATTCGTACACTCGTTTCTGTGAATTCACATGTGCAGTTAATTCAAGTTAAAATTAACTGTCAAAATGGTTTATTTTTATATATACGCATATTTTATTTATCTATTTAAGTTTACAAGAGCTTAAGGTAGTTCATCCTAACCCTTGTACCCGCATGGGATTGTAGGGAGTAAACATTATACTCGCTCCAGTCTCTCATTACCGTAATGACAAACTCATTAGCACTAATCCTTTTCCTAATTACAGGTAACATTCTTTCCATCCTATTGTTTATTTATTTATTTATTTATTTATTTATTTATTTATTTATTTATTTGTTTATTTATTTATTTATTTATATATAAACAAGAAGGTACATTGGGGGTTAAGAGAGAACATAGGAATGATGTTGATTTTACAATCTTGTAAAGCCACTGGTAGCACGCATAGCGTTTCGGGCAATTCCTTAAACTAACAGATAACTTTAAGTAGATAATTTACAGTAGAATTAACAACAAATATTTATAGGTACTTTACAGCTTTACTTTACAGGCACAGGTAATTTTAAGCAGATAAATTACAGTAAAATTGAAAAAAAATATAGGTCAACAAAAATAAAAATTAGAATAATATACAATAATAACAAAACACTATAATGAACAAGGATTTCAAGGTATTAGGACAAAATATCAAGGTTATACATTGGTTCACTGTAGTACAATATGAGGATCATTTGCAGGAATAATACAGTAGAATATGCATTCAATATAACAATTATGATATCAGATGATATTAAAGATTACAATGGAAGAGTAATATGGCTTAGGTACATATATTGAAGAATTTGGTTGCACTAGATACAGTGCGAGTTAAAGCACTAGATAGGAAACTATGAAGATGAAATTAGGTACTTTTTTGTTTTATTTTTGAATAAGGCAAAAGTTAGACAGCTCTTCAATCCATTAAGGAGTGAGTTCCATAGACTGGGTCCCTTTATTTGCATAGAGTGTTTACACAGATTAAGTTATTGGAGAAAGCTGAGGCTGAAAGCTGAAGATGTCACCAAATATAAGCAAGCAAGAAGCGAACAGCCAACAATACAATTTCCACAGTGATTCAGTCGCTTCGGAGTTACCACACCTCTTCAACCTCAAGAATGAAGCACTCGGCGTGTACAGTTCCAACCGACCCCAAGACGTTACACCTTCGACAGAGCAGACAGCAGACTTCTTGTATCTGTCTCTAAATTAATTTATTATCTTTTAGCACTCCATTACGTAACACAGAAAACAGATATACTCTTTCACTAATAGGGTCCAGGTAGTATAGTCGGATTCGTTCTTGGCTCACAATCGAGAATTCCGAATTCGAATCCCGGGCAAGACGGTAATAGTTGGGCGCGTTTCTAATCACCTGATGCACATGTTCACCTAGCAGTACATAGATACCCAGGTCGAGTTAATCAGCTTGTTGTACGGTTGTATCCTGGGAAGGGTTAGCAATTCGACCTTAGGAGGAAGGACCTAGATATAAGCCTAACACTCTGGCTGTCTATCCCACGAAAAAGAAAAAAACATGGAATGGCTTACCTTTCTGAGGTAAGGTAACTGATTTCTTTCTGATGATTTCTGATGGTTCTTTCGTCAACCGGTACCATCTTCAGATCCGAGCTTTCCGGCGTCTGCAAAGGCGACGTCAACATGGAAGATCGCACATTTGACGCAGCGTGTACCGCTATGTATGGTTGCTGCATGGACCCTCTGTTACCGCATCGTCTGAAAAAGTGGAGAGAGATTGAGTAAGACTTCAGTACCTCTTACAACACGGCAGAAATAAGAGAAGTCCGACAAGTCCGGACTCTAGGCGTAGGTAGAGTCCGGGCTGGTCGGACTCTCTCTCCCTCCTCGGGTTTGAGGAGGATAAAAATAGCCTAAGCTACTTTATGCTTTTGAGATGTATCTTATTGTCTCAATAAACTTACTTGAACTTGAACTCGGTTTGAACAATTATAGAATATATGTATTATAATAAGTGACTTGCGTTTCCTTAACTCTTGTCTAGTGGGTATTGTGACACTAAAAATATATGAGTTTCCACATTATCTTAGAGAATTTAAGTATGATAATGGTAATAACATGACACAAAATTACATAAAGGTACATATAAATAAATATATTAGCTTACCAGGAACAGTTTTCTATGAATAGCTATTAAAAGAAAATGGATTAATAATGGCTAAACATTTATATTTTATAAAACAGAGAAGCGCTTCCTTGATATATGTCCTGTCTCCAAAGGGTTCCGTCGGGATAAATGGCAAAGAGGTAGCTGACGCAGCAGCAGGGATAGTGCATAGTCTTCATGACTTTACACAGGTGCCTCGATAGGACCTTACGTAACACTTCCGTAGCTCCGGCCGCCCTCTCTTCCAGGACTGGGAGGCTGAGATAATAATAATAATGACCAGACCACACACTAGAAGGTGAAGGGACGACGACGTTTCGGTCCGTCCTGGACCATTCTCAAGTCGGTTGAGACAATCGACTTGAGAATGGTCCAGGACGGACCGAAACGTCGTCGTCCCTTCACCTTCTAGTGTGTGGTCTGGTCATCATACTTTAGCCACGTTATTGTGATTCATAGCCTGCAAATAATAATAATACTGTTTATTCCGGTAAAAGTACATACATGCAAAATGAGCTACAAACAGAATGTTGGATTTCTAGATAGAGCTAGTATATACTATGTCTAAAGCAACTATAATAGCAGTCCCCGTGGTGTAGTGGTAAGACACTCGCCTGGCGTTCCGCGAGCGCTATGTCATGGGTTCGTATCCTGGCCGGGGAGGATTTACTGGGCGCAAATCCTTAACTGTAGCCTCTGTTTAACGCAACAGTAAAATGTGTACTTGGATGAAAAAACGATTCTTCGCGGCAGGGGATCGTATTCCAGGGACCTGCCCGAAACGCTACGCGTACTAGTGGCTGTACAAGAATGTAACAACTCTTGTATATATCTCAAAAAAAAATACGTTCAGTGTTTCGGACAAGACGTGGAAAAAATCACTTAAAATCTAAGACTTTGATTTTATTTTTTATTTAATGCATGATGGAGCTGCTGAGTTAGCCAACGAATCTGCCTTTAAAGGAGAAATTGAGTGTAGCCTTGGATTGTCAATAAGCAGTCTGGGAGCAGCAGTACACCAAGAACTTCAATATAATCTTGTAGATCTGAGGCAAAGTGAAATCGACACCAGTAATTCCATCTATCATCATACTATTATGCAAGAGGAGCCACACATCTATGAATCATCCAATAAAATCAGCAGACTTCTAGATGTTACTACTGCTCGGCTTGGACTTAGTTAATTACAAGTATCTCTGGGAATTCTCATTATTTGCTGATGTAGACCTGACCAAATGATACAGTATAGTATACACACACACACACACACAGTTGGCCGGTGGCTGAGTGGACACCACGCTGGATACGTAATCCTGTACTCCGGGGTTCGATTCCCGGCGCCGGCAGAAACAAAAGTGGGCAGTTTTTTTCCACCCTGATGCCTTTGTTACCTTGCAGTAAATAGGTACCTGGGAGTTAGACAGCTGTTACGGGCTGTTTCCTGGGCGTGTGTGTGTGGGGGGAGGATGGGGGGAGTGGAATTAGCTAGTAGTTAGTATCAGTTGATTGACTGTTGAGAGGCGGGCCGAAAGTGCAGAGCTCAACACCTGCAAGTACAACTAGGTGAATACATACACAAACGACCACTCTCTCCCTCTCTCTATCTCTATCTTTCACCTCTATCCTTTCTTCCCCTCTCTCTCCCTCTCTCTATCTCTATCTTTCACCTCTATCCTTTCTTCCCCTCTCTCTCCCTCTCTCTATCTCTATCTTTCACCTCTATCCTTTCTTCCCCTCTCTCTCCCTCTCTCTATCTCTATCTTTCACCTCTATCCTTTCTTCCCCTCTCTCTCCCTCTCTGGTATTGCCTAACAATGTCCTGATCAAGTATTGCCTGTCATTGTACTAGTTGCCCAAAAGTTCAGAAAGAATCATCTGAATGATTGTTTTCAATCCAAACGGATGAATGAAAAATTGAATAACCGATCGTGGGTGTGCATAATAAACACAGTATGAATGCAGCCCGATACCCTAAGGCTTCCCAAACGTCAAGAAATTGTCGTACTAAAGTGCCCCTTATCCTTAGCCACCAGAGGACCCAAAACAGAAAACGGGACGGAATGTCAAAATCGTGTTTCCGTCGTGTACGAAACTTGCGTTACGATATGTCAAGTTTACGTCAAAATGCGACGTACAGAAAGGGAAGAAAAACTTGTGAATGTAAATCGTTCACATTCCGAACGCTTCCTGTCCCGCGCAATCTTACTTGGAACGATGAGATAAAAAATGTCATTCAAAGAAAATGGTTTCCCTTCAGCTCTTAACACAAACCATAACAAACTTTATGAATAGCAAACAAAGGATATCGGAGATTTAAATCGCTTCAAAAACACACAAGAGACCCAGAAATCACAGACCAACAAACAGATACTTGTCATACGCGCTCACATGATCAAATTTGTAATGGGGGGGGAAAAACCCGCATCAGCTTGCGAAATAGAGGAAAATAATTGTCCCATTCATCAGAGTCATTACCCATTTTTAGTGTCCCAGCCCTCGTTATGCATTCCTTCACCCGGGAATAGGTTTAATGAGTCATTCATGACACTTAAAAAAGAATTGTTGCGCAATTAATCAGTGTTTTGTTGTGAAATATTACACAAAATTCCGCCTTCAATTCTCGTTTGCTAGACTGGAGGGCGCAAATGACAGACACAAACAGTACCAATGACAGAAAATGGACGGAATAAAATTAGATGAACAGTGCAACTGAATGAAATTAGACAGAAAAATATATAACCCTCTGGGCATAACATAGACCCAGAGAGAGAGAGAGAGAGAGAGAGAGAGAGAGAGAGAGAGAGAGAGAGAGAGAGAGAGAGAGAGAGAGAGAGA